AAAAATTTTCAACTTTGTCATTGAATTTCCTGACATTGTTCTGGAATATAACAGTTTATCTAGTTTATCTATTTTTTATATATATATATATATATGTCGTATATGCTGGGGAAAAAACTATAGGCCTCGTTCCAAAAAATAAATGCAAGCAGAAGCACAAAAAAGGAATGTGCATTTAAAATCAAAACAGAATATTTACAGTAAAAGAATAGATCTATAAAAAATGTTCATTTTACGAAAGGATTAGATAAAAATAAAATATAAAATCAGGTATCTTTAAAATTTAATATCTGATTCAACACTTTTAACACTGAATTTATGACCAATCGACACACATTTTTTTGTGGCGTCCTGATTGCTTGTGCTTTGTTTTGGGTTGCCTTCAAGATAATTCTGTAGCTATGAGCCTCATTATCATAAGTCGTGAATTGAAAGCTCACAGCTTAAGACGTCCAAACTGATGCCCTAATCATATAACAAGTACACGAATGCCTGAATACTGTATCATCAATCTTGCCAGGATACCTATGCATACACATAAAAAGGAAAAGCAACAAAATTAAACACTTTATCGGCACGATTTTTGCAGTTTCAATCTATTCACTTAGACGAATATATATTAGCAATGGATGAAAACCCGGTTGCTTTATAAATTGCTCCTTTAATGCGAAATACTTCAAGAGGGTAATGTTAATTTCGAATTCAGCACTCAATCGTTTTTTAAGCAGCAGGTGAAAATGGCTACTGTTTTCCGTTCGAAATCACAAACATGGCGGAAAAAGAAATTCAGTTTTTTTTATTTTATTTATTTATTTTATTTTATTTTGCATTATATAGACAAAAGTGTAAGCTATTTTCTCATTGGCATAATAACCTTTGATTCACCGATCAATAGAAAAAAAATAACGTTCATAATAGAAAGCATCATGCTAGGTCAATTTTAACCTGGGGACGATTTAAGTTTTGTGGCCAAAGCTTGTTAAGCCAGTTGTTGAAAACGGCTTTGAAATATGTTGAAGAGGTGTTTAATGCTGACGGTAAATTAATTCATAAAAGCTGTTAATCGTCTTGAGTTAAAGCAATGAGTTGTAGGTGACTCATGACGTCAGTGATTCAGCCTCGTTTCATTGGCGTTGTTAACAACAGAGAAAACTCGGAACATGACACAACAAGATTTAACTTAATTTCGACTTTAGAGTCGAGGTTTCGAATTGCCGAAAAAAGAAGGAAGCAATAAGTCTGTAGATTTCGCGCTAAAATCTGTTCATGCTTCATCAGTTCACAGTCATGAGTCTATATTTTTTAAAAAGTAAAAGAAACCAAAGAACAAAAAGATACCAAACATCTATGTTCAAATAAATACTATTGCTAAAGTCAAATATGTAATCCGAATTGTTCGCGTTTTTATTTTTCTGTTTTCAGTTTCTGCTGAAAATACTAAGATGGCTGAAACTAAAGTTTTAATATGGATCTGTGTTTGCCAATTTTTATTGTTGTAACATACCTACGGACGATAATGAGTATGTCCCCATTCACATAAATACAGTAGTAAATACTGTATGTTGGTCTGCAGTTGGGGATTCGTCTCCAGCTGTGCTGGTTAAACTCTCTGCCTCTGGGAAGAGAGGATCCCCAGACGAGGATATGTCGAAGGGCAGAGTTTCGTCTCGGGAAACAGTTACCCGACCCCGTTTAATACTGGGTCTACGGGGAAATTTTGGCTGAGCCTACAGGCTCGGATACTCCACATTAAATTCTGCCTTGTGCTACATCTGACCGCGTGGGGCGGTTGGTAGATATCCTTCAGTTGGAGATTCATTGTGGAATTCACTTGATTCACTTCTAGCAGTTGACTACTACTTCTACGCGCCGCTGGCGAATCATATGTGTTATCGTTCATTACCAACCTTCGTGTGATTATTCTATTCTGTAACCTTCCCTAGGTTACAATAGTTATATATGTCGTTGACAGTAGCTACATGGTGATTTACCCCGATCTCCTCTCTGAGACAAGATGTGACGCAAGGTCGGGCTTAATATGGGGAACCTGAGCGCGTACACTCAGGTCAAGGACAAAACATTACCCAGTCCCTGCAACATTCGTTTGTGCTGGCATCGGTATGGCTACCGATCACTCCTTTTTAGTGCAATATAAAGGTGCAGCCTCGTGCAGCTGTTCCCTCATAGTATTTATTTTCCTTAGCTGCGTCTCTGTCCGCAGACAAAGCCACAACTGAGTCGCACTCTGCTCGAAGACAAAGACGGAACAGAGAGATGATAAACCCTACACCCGGCATGTGTCAGGTAAGTATGACACTAGCTATATGTCTAACCATTAAATCTTTTATTGGTTCTCATATTACGCCATAAATTGTATCTGTTTGATACTAATATTAGTTTCAGTGTGATTCAAACATTTTCAGATAGAATTCTATCTCTCACGTTGTCATTTCTTATATTTCAGTACAATAAATTGTTGCATTCATCACTCATTCTCAGTACTAACCTAATTGTCAATGTCCGACCTTAGTTGGATTTGATTTGTGTTTGTAATTCACTCGTAATTGATTGTGTTAAAAGTGGCCTCCTACTAATCTCATACTATATGGTACGTAATCTAGTGTCTCAATTGTCATTCTTCATTGTGTATTTCATATGACACTCGATACACAATCTGTATGTCGTTCTCGATATTCAGCAGTTCTACATTTCTCTACACTTTGGTCTGAATGGTGAGAAAGATGGTAGGAATATGACGTTAGCAGTGGTAGTAGTTGTGGAATAGTAAACCTACAATCCAATATATTGAAGAATTAGGAATATGATTTTTTTTTTTATTTTATTTACTTATTTATTTTTATTTTTATTTTTTTGGATACTTTAGTTTTTGACGTTACGTAAACACGGATTATGTTCATGTACTTAAAAATCTGTGATAATCTTGAGATATAGGCAAGAGAGTATTTGGCTTTTGGAAGGAATTTATTGCAGTCCATTTCACATTAATCAAAACTTTATTGGTGCTTTAGCGAATCCGATTTTTGTCTCAAAGAGAATTTTGAATCAATTGTCTTTTTTTTTCATTTAAAAGTGAGGAAACTTTCTTCATTTGTTTGTTTTTTTCTTGATTTTTTTTAAATTATAGATTCATAATTGCATCTCAACAGAATTGAGGAATCAATATAATTTAGCGGTGAATCTTGAGGTTTTATTGTTTCTTTCTGTTTTTGGCAATTCGAAAACTCGACTTTCGTAAAAACGAAATTAATAATAAGTGAATTAAATCTTGTGTCACGTTTCGTTTTCGAGTTTTCTCTGTTGCTTACAACACCAATGAAGCGAGGTTGAATCGCTGGCGTCATACCCCACCTTTTTCTGTTATATAAACAATATGTTTTTCTCACACACACACGCACATATATATATATATATACATATATATATATATATATATATATATATATCGTGCGACTTTTGGAGACCTAATTTTAAGCCTTCTCGGTCTAACGTTCTCTGCTGACATAAATTCGAAATTATCGAATCCATTGCTAGATCAGCTGCTAATAAAGTTCATTTATTGTGTCCTGTTATATAATTTTTCTCTCCAGGGTCTATCCTACATATCTGTAAGTCTACCATTCGTCCATGCTTTGAATACTGTTGCTGCATATGGTCCGGTGCTACTGTTATATATTTCACTCCTAGTAACCCCTTGTGTTTTAGTGGCTTTACTGCTTTGCTTGGGGTAAATCCAATTAAAAAATATATAGATAGATACTTGAAAGAATTAGATAGATAGATAGATAGATAGATAGATAGATAGATACTTGACAGAATTAGATAGATAGATAGATAGATAGATAGATAGATAGATAGATAGATAGATAGATAGATACTTGACAGAATTAGATAGATAGATAGATAGATAGATAGATAGATACTTGACAGAATTAGATAGATAGATAGATAGATAGATAGATAGATAGATAGATAGATAGATACTTGACAGAATTAGATAGATAGATAGATAGATAGATAGATGACAGAATTAGATAGATAGATAGATAGATAGATACTTGACAGAATTAATAGATAGATAGATAGATAGATTGACAGAATAGATAGATAGATAGATAGATAGATAGATACTTGACAGAATTAGATAGATAGATAGATAGATAGATAGATACTTGACAGAATTAGATAGATAGATAGATAGATAGATAGATAGATAGATAGATAGATACTTGACAGAATTAGATAGATAGATAGATAGATAGATAGATAGATAGATAGATAGATAGATAGATACTTGACAGAATAGATAGATAGATAGAATAGATAGATAGATAGATAGATAGATAGATACTTGACAGAATTAGATAGATAGATAGATAGATAGATAGATAGATAGATAGATAGCATCTAATAATAAGACATTGCTAAGTCTTTTTCGTCGGGTTTCCGGAAATGATGAGTCTTTTGTATCAGGGAAATCAGTTCTTGTTGAGGCCATTATTTTAGCTTCTGACGCCAAAGAAACTTACAGAATAATAAAGATAATAGAACAATCATCATTTTAAAACAATGTCTGTAAAGGAGGATTTTTTTTTATAAACATTGTTTATTCAAGTGTAACCGGACCAAACATCCATCGCCCAGTTTTTATTGGTTGACTAAACACTCATAAATTCATCAAAGACTAGAAACGCCACGTCAGTATAAAACACAGATTAGAATTGTGCCAAGGCTACACGTATAAGACACCTAGTGAGGATCAAATTTTCTATTCAGTAGTAATTGATTCGTGATTGTAGTCAATATACATTTCATTAAAGAATCTGACATCAGAAGAGATCACTGGAAAAAAACAAATGACAGCCATTTGTGTCTGTTTCTTTAACTCTATAACATGGATTTTAGAAAATTCATGTTAAATCTTTATTGTTTTTTTTTTAATATTATCTATTTTTTAAATTAATTGTACAAAATAGGAAGGCTTACGGCCAAATCAACTTGAAACACCACTTCTTGTACGATCACCGAAGTTAAGCAACGTCGAGCCAGGTCAGTAGTACCTAGATGGGTGATCACTTTGAAATACTAAGTGATGTAAGCTTGGATGTGCGGGTGGCGTAGTGGATAACGGCTTAGAATTGGAAATCAGAAAGCGAAGTTCGAATTCCAGTTGAGTTCGTTATATTCACTTACACGCAAATAACCTTAGGAAAGGCATGAATCCGCTTCTCTCCCCCACACACCAGCTATGGATTAATTATTAGGACTTGTATCAATAAATCATTAGGAAGGCTTACGGCCAGATCAACTTGAAACACCACTTCCTGTACGATCACCGAAGTTAAGCAACGTCGAGCCAGGTCAGTAGTACCCTAGATGGGTGATCACTTTGAAATACTAAGTGATGTAGCTTGGATGTGCGGGTGGCGTAGTGGATAACGGCTTAGAATTGGAAATCAGAAAGCGAAGTTCGAATTCCAGTTGAGTTCGTTATATTCACTTACACGCAAATAACCTTAGGAAAGGCATGAATCCGCTTCTCTCCCCCCACACACACCAGCTATGGATTAATTATTAGGACTTGTATCAATAAATCATTAGGAAGGCTTACGGCCAGATCAACTTGAAACACCACTTCCTGTACGATCACCGAAGTTAAGCAACGTCGAGCCAGGTCAGTAGTACCTAGATGGGTGATCACTTTGAAATACTAAGTGATGTAAGCTTGGATGTGCGGGTGGCGTAGTGGATAACGGCTTAGAATTGGAAATCAGAAAGCGAAGTTCGAATTCCAGTTGAGTTCGTTATATTCACTTACGCGCAAATAACCTTAGGAAAGGCATGAATCCGCTTCTCTCCCCCCCCCCACACCAGCTATGGATTAATTATTAGGACTTGTATCAATAAATCATTATTATCTTCAAAGACATTCTTACAATCTAAAACTATTTTCTACCTTTAAATAACCTGCAAGGAGTTGATAAGCCGTAAAAAAACAAATCAGTTTACAAAATAGCAAACGAAGTTTAGAAAACTTTCAATAACTAATTTAAAAAAGTAAAATAAAATAAAATCAAAGCAATATTAAAATTAAGAATTATACTGTCTGTACCTTTGACATTTTATTTACCTGACCTCCATCACTAAGTCAGGATGTGATACAGGGTATTTTTTATGTGGGGAGCATATACGCGTACATATTGGCCAAAGTCAAAATTGTCAAGTCCTCGCGACCACGCTGACGTTGATATTATACTGACCCCACTTCTTTTATTGCGATGAAAAAGGTGATGCCCGATATGAAGGATTAACATTACAAAAGTTGTTCTGCCTATTGTTCTCACTGTTCCGCTTTCCATAATGTTTCGGTCATTCCATACTTTCTTTATGTATACAATACGTACGAAATGTAGGAATTTTTGCGTAAATCATTTTCTGATGCGCCCTCAACCGCTTCTTTTTATACAGCCCGTGCAATTGAAGAAGGCCGTAGAAAAGATCAACCAAAACGTTCCGATAGCAACAAGAGCAGCAAAAATTAACCGATAGCCTGAACTATTGTTTTATTTCTTTTAAAGGGAAAATTATCTCCCGTTTTTAGCTATAAACCGTGTTCTTGTAATGTAATTACTATTGTATAAATATAAAATAGTAAATCAATACACATGTTTTTTTTTTATATTGTTTTCTGCGAGCCGGCAAATAATTGCTTTTCTTCTTTCTTAGTTTTTTTTATTAAATTTTTGGCGGGGAATCATCTTTCATGAGCTCACGGTAAAAGTTGAACGCGACAAAGGATAATGAAAACTGACACCAGAGAATATTAGTGTGTAATGGGGGCTGGCTAATTTACCTCCAAGCGAGAGCCCCGGATGCAGAATGAGCACACGGTTAGAGGGGACTAGCCAATCAGTAGGGAGCAATGATTATCATTTCCTGAGTCATTGTACGAGAGGGGGTGGTAGAGAAGAAATAATATAATAACACGACGCGGAAAAAAGGTGAGGAAAGATCGACAGGAAAAACGGTTACAGTCACGTGACATGGGTGTCTAGGTTTTCCAAGACCCAACATTTCTATCTCTATCTCTTTGTTATTCTTTCTGTGTTATTCTCTCTCTTCCTCTCTTATTCTCCCTCTCTCACTATTTATTTCTTATTCTCTCTCTTTTTCTCTCCATATCTTTCTTATCCTCTCTCTCCATTTCTCATTTCTTTCTTATACTCTCTCTCTCTCCATTTCTCATTTCTTTCTCATTCTCTCTCTCTCTCCATTTCTCATTTCTTTCTCATTCTCTCTCTCTCTCCATTTCTCATGTCTTTCTTATTCTCTCTCTCTCTCTCTCTCTCTCCATTTTTCATTTCTTTCTTATTCTCTCTCTCTCTCTTTCTCCATTTCTCATTTCTTTCTTACTCTCTCTCTCTCTCTCTCTCTTTCTCTCTCTCTCTGAATTATTGTTGTTTTCAAACCTGGCCTGTCCTCCTCTGAGGCCGTTGGGACCCGACAGCCATTCTCGCATGAAAAAATAGGAACGCGAAAATGACGAGGAAATATGGCTTGTTCTTGTTTCGCCCCAAACATTGCTTCAATCAACAACGTGCGTCTGGAAACCCGCCTCCTGGAAGACCTCAAAATGGCATTCATTTTACTCTATGAGGCAGGGTCTTTTCTACTTCTTTCACTCTCTTCACTTCTGTCATTCTTATGCCCCAAATCCAAGCTTATCTCCTCTTAACTCTTCCCTTGCTTCATCAATCCTCACAAGTCGTTATTCTGTCTAAAATCCATGTCTCAAGGCATAAATCTGTTACCCTGACTGTCTGCCTATCAGTCAATCGCAATTTGTTTCTATCTCTTCGGTCTACCTATTTCTAACTTTCTGCTATTGGTTTGGTTTCGTTTGGTTTTTGTTTTACGGCATATCAACCTCAAATTTTATTGCTGGTAATATGTTTTTCTTCAAAAATCTATTTCTGGGAATATTTTTCCTTGGAGAAATCTATAGCTGGTCATATTTGTTTCAAAAAATGTATAGCTGTTTGTATTGCTGGTATTTTTTTTAAGTATTGCTGATAATAATTTTTCCTTCAAAAATTATTGCTGGTAATAATTTTTTTATTACAAAGTATTTCTGGCATTAAAACCTATTTTTACACAAGTTTGGGTGTTAAGTATTTGCCCATAGCTGGGACCCTAACGGGTGCTACCACCCTGGGTCAGGGTGGACCTGGGAACACCAGCAATTAAGAGGTGGTTCCACGCTCCTCAAAACATCCTGATCAGAGGCCTTGCTGTTGGACGTAATTTATCGTCTTACCCAGGACGTGGATGTAGTTTATCGTCATACCCAGGACGATCTCTGCTATTGAATCATCTTCATTCGTATCTATCTAATACTGTTCATAACTGTCTCAACCTTTCCTATCTATTCGATATGTATTAATCTTGTCGTCCTGGGTATGACGATGAATTACATCCAGCAGCAAGGTCTTTAGTCTGGAAATTGTAGGTTTTGTCGAGCTTGGAACCACCTCTTAATTGCTGTTGTTACCAAGTCTACCCTGACCCAGGGTGGTAACACCTGTTATGGCCCCATCTATGGGCAAATAGTGCCCCCCACCGGCAAACAAAAATCAACAGTACATTTTTATAATAAAATGAGAAACAATAGATTTTTATAACAAATTAACAAAGCAAAACATTAAAAAAAATTTAAATATACATTATATAGGAAAAATACCAACAGTACATTTTATGATCTAAAAACTATATATCTAAAAAAAAACATAACTTTACCGTCAAAATATAAAATTATGTACAAAATATCTGTATACACTATTTCCATTATTCTAACTGTTGTCCTTATCTTTGTTGTCATATTCACGACGTTTTTGTATATCACCTGAAAAAGGCTGGAGCGTACAACGGTCGAAACATCGTGAATATGACAGTGGGGATGGAGACGGCGGTCCGAACAATATAAATAGTTATCAGAAATATAGACAAAATATCAGTAGTTGATAATATAAAATTACGTACAAAATATGTATATTTCGGCATTAAATAACCCATAGAATTTGATATGCCGCTAAACAAAATCAACCAACAAAACAACCCTATTAATCTAGTCATATCAAGCAATTTATAACTTTTCACACAATCTTTTTTTTAATTTATTTTATTGCATATCTATATGTCTTACTATCTATCTCTGTTTCTTCATATTGTTTCTGCGTTAATCTGTTACTATGTATGAAATTCTTTTCTTTTTTTTTTTTTTTTTTTGTCTTCCTCCACTTTTGTTGTTCCTTCTACGAGATGCTGAAAACGTCTACCTTCTTCCCAAAATATGGTCAAATGCTGAAACATCGGAACATTTTTTTTTTTTTTTGTAAAGACATCATTGACGAGCAAAAAACATTTCACCATCTCATAGAAATCTTTCGCTCTCTTTATCTTTCTTTTTTACTTGATTCGCTTCGACTTCTTTTATAACTTTCCGCAAATCTCTACTTTTATTTTTTTCTGTTCTTTCTTATCTTCTACAGTGGTGTGTGTTTGTGGTGGGAGGAATAACTTATTTTTTTAATTCATCAATTATTCCTTTTCTTTTTCTTTTTTTTAACATTCCCTGCCCGGTGAGAGTCTGGAGGCATAACATAAACTAATCAAATATTTATTAAACATCAGACTTGTCTGAAATGATTCCAGAACTGGAAATGATACGGTAATATATAAAGAAAATGTGACAGAAATATTTCACGCCAACGAAGCCAAACTGATTTGAAAATAGAGTTTGGCGAAAAATACAAATTATTATACATGAAGCTATTGATCTAGAGGTACAGATTACGCAACATCAAAAATGCACAAAGGAATGGACATGAACACAAACGCTAACATACATGCACACACACACACACACTTCACCATTTAAGAGCTACTTTATTAATAACAAAGCAGAGACATAAGTATACATGTGCCCTTGTACGCACGTTTATATGTATATATGTGCACGTGAGTATGTATACGTGCATGCATAAATATGCACACAAATTCAAACAATAATAAATTTATTTATAAATGTAACGTCCTACAA